TCCAAATATTTGAAGTTCGTAAGTTAAGAATGTGATGCCTCCAACACTGAGCGTTTGGGAAGCCAGTTCAGGTGGAGGGCAAGTCCTGGGTAAGGTCTCTTTTGCTGAATACGATAGAAGAACATTATCAAATATTGGGCCATGGCAAGATTTTACAATGATTGATTTAGGGCTTGTGCCATCTTTGTAAATGGCTTTACATCTGCATTGTGTTTTCGTGTTCCAAGAAAACAACTCAAACCTAATGAAAATGAACAGAATTTAGATCCTGAAATTCAATTTTCAATATCAAGCATTTATTCTGCTTAAATGTGATTTTGGCTGGTACCTCTTTAATTATCTTAGAACTGGATGAGGAAATTAATGAAGACTACCTTCTCAGATTTTCTTTTTTTTTTTTCCTTTTTGTCTTTTTTCCTGTCCGGCAACGGATTGCAACCCTCAGTGTCGCGCCCGTACCGGACCAGGACTGGCAACGGGATCGCAATCCTCGGTGCTGCGCCCACACCTCGCTCAGCCAGTGAGCGGGAACCGGTCTGTATGTGGGATCCGAACCCTCGGAGGGAGCGCTGCCGCGCTCTCAAGCGGCGCACTGTAGCAGTGCGCCACCGGGCCGGCCCTTCTCAGATTTTCTTATTATGTATTTCGTAAGCATACTATATCTTCTTTATGTCCTGCAAATCTTTCACTTAGCATCCAAAAAAGGGTGCAAATGCATTTGTACATACACACATACACACAATCCGAAAAATTCAATTTTGTTCCTTCTCAGAATTATAGCATTGATTCTTACAGTTCAAATACATTTAAGTCACACTAGAGGAAAAAGGAGGACATGACAAATGAGCATTACTAATAAAACAATTCTTGGAAGCATTCTCAACAGTCAGAACTGTCATGCCTGTTTGAACATGCAAAAACGTCTGCTTTGGGGATGTCCAGTTTAAGCCCTGGAGGAACCTCGGCTGCCTTCTTCTGTGATTGATACATTCATCTCCCCTCCCTAGTTCCCTGGTGATGAGTGGTAGTTTCTTTATTTTTATTTGTCCTGAAGCCAGTTGCACTGATATCAAAAGAAAGAAAAGGGCCTGGCATGGCTTCTATCCCTTCAAGCTGGCCTGCTGAAATGATTGATAATTCCCGGGGACTACTCTCCAAAGAGTAATCCTTTTCATTTGGCCTGATTTACACTGGCTTTCTCATAGGTATTCATGGTTTGGGAACTAGACAGCGTCCCATTATTTAGTCATGAAAGCAGGGATGTCACTAAAGGTGGCCTCATATTACTGCTTAAAGGCCTATTAGAAATCTCGTTTTGCTTTTTGGGGATGTCATTGTGATGCAAAGCAGTTCAGGGTTTCATTACTGGTGAAAGCCTTTTGTTGGGCGCACCCAGCCCGTCGTGTCCTGAGATTTGCCATTCTCCTCCTCTACTGCTGTTCTGAAACAGGAATATTGTTGCTTTGAGGATTTCATGACATCAGTAGTGAAAAACATACTTAAGGCAAGAAAATTGCAGCTGAACAAAAAGGCACCATCAAATCTCCCATCAGATACAAATGACAAACTCCACTTTGTTTAGTTGTCCTGACATAGGATTTCCCTGGGGAGGTTCAGAAAAATAAATATCTGCCGAGTTATTACCGTAAGATTTGATGAAAAGGGCATTTTCTGTGATTATGCTCTTTCTCACCCCCGCCCCCCGCTTTTTTTGGTCTTTTAGGCATATGACTGTGTCTTCTATTTAACACTCAACAGCTGCTAGACTCTGACTTCCCTGTTAGTGACCTAGTGAGCTGGCCCCTTGTCTCTGGGCCACTCCCCATGTTTCCTGGGCAGTTCACATTCTCAGCAGGAATGGTCAGTGACTTTGAACGAGTACCTTTAACCCTTTGTGTCTCAGTTTCTTCAACTCTAAACAAAGTTAAGTTAACAGGAGCTCATTGTTCTTGTTGTGAAGATTTAATGAAATTACATGTGGAAAGACTTAGCACACTGCCAGGCAGAGGCAACCGCTCATTCCACAAGTATTAATTGAGTGCCTACTATGTGTTGGATGTTGTCCTAAGTGCTGGGAATAACGAGAGGTACAAACACAGGACCACTCTCTCCCCTCTTGGAGTTTTCAGTCCAGTAGAAGATTTGGGCATTAATTAAATAAGAACATGGCTTATATCTCCAAATTGGGCCAAAGACTAGGAAGGAAAATTACAGGCAACTTCACTTGGCCCTGACCTAATCGGAGGATATTTTTCAATATATTTGAATGAGGTCAGAAGAAGAAATAAGAGTGAACCAGGAGAAAGAGGTGTCGGGTCCTCACCAGCCCTAACGTGCATTTTAGCACATTAGGAAAAGGTATTCCTACCCTAGGGCAGTTGCACACCACTTACCTCCTCGCATGGCTTAGTGAGCACATGGCTTAGTGAGTGGAGAATGGACTGGGTTTTAGCACTCTCTGGCCCATTCGCTGGGTACCCTTGAGCAGAGAACAACTGTGCAACTGTACAGGGTACCTCTGGCCGGGGGTGGGAGGATATTGGCGGCAGAGGAAAGCACCTTTGCAAAGGCACTGAGGTGGGAGGAAGTGTGGCACATTTGAGGAGCTGGAAAGGGCCAGCATGGCTGGAGGACAAGGAGCAAGGCTGGTGGGAGGGGAGTCCAGAGAGCTCTCAGTAAATACCAGACAGTGTTCATGCATTATAGCATGATTCTCGTAAATTCACTGCCAACACATCAAGGTCTCCTTAGAAACACCGAGGTCTCTCTAGATGCCATTGAATTTCAACCAGTGAAGGGAAACTGCTTCAGAGTTCTGATTTATTGGTGTCACACAACTGAGATTTAGAGGAAAAGGACAATGGATGAGGAGAGACTTTTAATATGGAAAGCAGAGAGCCAACGTACCTCTAGTGGCAGGTCTCCTGCAAATGACAAATGCTCCGTTTCAGCCCAGAAAATCAGATATTATGCAAGAAGAGGTGAAAACAGATACAGAACCAAAACAAAAAACAAACAAAAAAAAAACAACCCCACCACGTTATGCAAATGAAAATGGTATCTGAACGTTAGGGAAAGGGTACTAACAATGCTATCATTTTGAGGGTATAATAATTTCTCCAAAGAAGTGGAAGAATCTCCTTGTCTTGGTCTCTTGCAAAGGACCTGTCCCACTGGAAAACCAGAGCTTGGCAGTAATAGTGCACTAGCTAGAAATGACCTTGATAACCCCCACGTTCTTCCTAGCTTTGATTTCTTTCTGGAATAATTCATAAGAGCATTCATTCATTCAAACAAATATACTGTATCAAGGTTTTCTTTTTGTTTTTGTAAGTCAACATTAAGAGGGAACTAAAAACCCCAGATGCTGGAGAATCATGCATTGTTGCAGTTAGCTTTGCACACTGCCGAGCTGGGCATCTGCAAGTGTTTGCCCAGTTGAGATGTGGTGTACACCACTTTGAGGGGAGCTGGGGCTTTGGGATTGGATGGGTCTAGGCCCACATCCTGACTAGGCCACCTACAAGCTGTGTGACCTTGGGCAGGTTAGTCAACCTCTCCACACAGTGTGAGTTACTGTAAGCTCTAGCTTGCAAAGTCATTTCTGGGATCCTGTACTGAGAACAGTTTCATGTGAACCATGTTCTTTCAGAGGTTTATTTCTTTGTACTATATCTGAAAAGTCTTGGCCCTTGCTTTTCAGAGGTAGCTGTACTCTGCTTTGGGAAACATACAGAACCAGAATGAAGACAGACTTACAAGGCTTGCCAGAGTTAGTGGCTCTATTAAACTTTTGAGGGGAGGAAATCATATGTAGTCATGATTTTTGAATGTTGTATCTATGATCAAAAATCTCATTATAATCTGAAAATTCCCACAAGAGCAGACACTACCAACTGACCCAGCACTTGAGATATTTTATTGCTTATTAAGATGTAGTAGAATACTACTCAGCCATAAAAAAAAAAAAATGAAATCCTATCATTTGTGGCAACATGGATGAGCCTGGAAGGCATTATAAGTGAAATGTCAAATACAGAGGGATAAATACCACATGTTCTTATTCATATGTGGAAGCTAAAAAAAAAAAGTTGCGCTTATAGAGGTAGAGAGTGGAATTGTGGTTACTAGAGGATCGGAAGGGGGGATGGATAGGGAGAGGTTGGTTAATGAATGTAAAAATCACAGCTAGATAGGAAAAGTAAGTTCTAGTGGTCTATAGTAGTGCTAGGTGTTTATAATTAACAATAATTTATTGTTTGTTCTCAAATGGCTAGAAGGGAGGTGCTCAAATGCTCTCACTACAAAGAAATGATGCATTTTTGTGATGATGAATATGCTAATTACCCTGATTTGATCATCACACATTATATACACATATTGAAATATAACTCCGTACCCCATAAATATGTACAGTCAATATGTGTCAGTTAAAAAATAAATACATTTTTAAAAAGATGTAGTAGCAGAACTTAAAAATATGCTATGCTTGAATGTAAGCCACATCAACCTGGAATGCACACTGATAATCAGAGATAAATTCCAATATTTTACTCTTGAAAAAGAGATGAACTACTTAATTTCTCTTCAAAGGAAAGTTGGAGAAAGAACCCTTTTATATGTCTCAGTCATCATGTAGTACATAAAGGCCACTTTTCCTGTCTCTTGCATTATGTGCATGTGATCTTATGTCAATAACATGCAGGCTGCACCTTCAGTACTAACATGCAACTTTAGCAACCTGAGTCCTTCAAAGGAAGAGCAGGCTGACAGTGATTTAAGATTTAAGATGCTGTTTTTTTTTTTGAAAAAGAATTCATCCCAGGTTTAAAAATGAGAAATGCTAACTCAAGCATACACTTTTCTATCAAAAATGACATTGTTGCTTTCTGAAAATGGAGGTAGATGAGGCACTTAATCAGAGAGACCATTATGTTGTCAAAGGCAGTGCCCAGGCTGGAGGATTCTCACGGGCATATGATCATTTTATTGCTTTTCAGCCCGAGGCCACCAATCCCACTCTCCCTCCTGCTGACAGAAGAGGAAGCAGCACTCTGCATTCAGTCCTTCTGGAGAGCTTATCTGGTAAGAGTCACGTGCAATTGTGACATTTGGCTTGATGGGGAATTTTTGTGATGTGGAGGGCCCATGAGAAAATCCTTAGATGAATTTGAAACAGAAGATATTAGTATTCTCTATGAAATAGGTCCTAAAGAGCAATTTAGAATTGTTACCAAAACCTATTTTGCAATTATCATTAAAAGTACTCCCCACCCTTTTAAAGTTGGGTTGACTGGCCTGTATTGCCTAAAAAATAACATGACATATATAGAGAAAGGAATACATGGCAGTATTCCTTAAATTGATCTACGGATTCAACACAATTCCTATCAGAATCCCAACTGGACTTTTTTTTTGACAAGCTGACCCTAAAATTCATATGAAAATGCAAGGGACCCCAAATAGTCAAAACAATCTTGAAAAAGAAGAACAAAGTTGGAGGACTCACACTTCCCTATTTCAAAACTTACTACAAAGTTACAGTCACCAAGACTGAGTGGTACTAGCATAGGGTAAACATACAGATCAATGGAATAGAATAAAAGTTCAGAAATAAACCCTTACATTTATGTTGACTGATTTCCAACAAGAGTGTCAAGACCATTCAATAGGGAAAGAATAGTCTTTTCAACAAATGCTGATGGACAACTGGATATCCACATGCAAAACAATGAAGTTAGACCCCGACTTCATACCGTATACAGAAATTAATTCAAATTAATTAGAGACCTGAATGAAAGTGTTAAAACTATAAAGATCTTAAAAGAAAACATAGATATAAATTTTCATGACCTTGAATTAAGCAACAAGTTTATATAACAAAAGAAATTTAGATAACAAAAAGCACAAGCAACAAAAGAAAAAAATAGATAAATTGGACTTTATCAAAATTAAAAACTCTTATGGTTCAAGGAATACCATCAAGTGAGTAAAAAGACAATCCATAGAATGGAAGAAAATATTTGCAAATCATATATTGTATAAAGTTTTAATATCTATAATATATGAAGAATTCTCACAACCCAAGAACAAAAATACAAATAACCCAATTATAAAATTGGCAAAGGATTTGAATAGATGTTTCTCCAAAGAATATATACAAATGGCCAATAAGCACATGAAAAGATGCTCAACATCACTAATAATCAGAAAATACAAATCAAAACCACAGTGAGATACTACTTCATACCCACTAGCATGGCTACAATCAAAAAGACAGTAACAAGAGTTGGTGAGAATATAGAAAACTTGAAACCTTCAAATACTGATGATGAGAATGTAAAATAGTACAGCCACTTCGGAAAACAGGCAGTTCCTCAAAGAGTTAAAAATAGGGTTTCCACACTATGACCTAGTAATTCCACTCATAGGTGTATATTTCAGATAATTGAAAACATCTGTCCCCACAAACACTTGTACACAAATGTTCAAAGAAGTATTATTTATAACAGCCAAAAAGTGGGAACAATCCAAATGTCCATCAACTGATGAATGGATAAACAGAAGGTGATACAGCCATATGATGCAATGTTATTTAGCCATAAAAAGGAATGAAGTACTGATACATGCTGCAAAACGGATGAACCTTGGAAACATTATGCCAACTGAAAGGAGCCAAAGACAAAAGGTCACATACTGTATGATTCCATTTAAGTGAAATGTCCAAAATAGGGAATGTGATAGAAAACTAGATTAGTGGTTGTCGGGGGCTGGAGGAAGGGGAAAGTGGGGAGTCACTGCTAATGGGTACAGGGCTTCTTTTGGAAGTGAAAAACTGTTCTGGAACTAGATAGTGGTGATGGTTGAACAGCTTTGTGAATATAATAAAAACCACTTAATTCTAAAATTTAAAAGGATGAATGTTATGGTAGGTGAATTATATAGAAATAAGATAAACAAGTAAATATTATAAAAAAAATATGAAGCAAGCCATCATTTTATTATTCCTTTTTTTTTTTTTTTGTCTTTTTCCGTGTCCGGCATCGGATCGCAACCCTCAGTGTTGCCCCCATACCGGACCGGGGACCGGCAACGGGATTGCAACCCTCGGTGTTGCTCCCGCGCCTCGCTCAGCCAGTGAGCGGGCACCGGTCCACATGTGGGATCCGAACCCTCGGGCGGGAGCGCCGCCGTGCTTCCCAAGCGGCGCACTATCCATTGCGCCACCGGGCCGGCCCTTATTATTCCTTTTGACCATGTGTTCTCCTGATGTGAGTTCTAGATTTTTGGACTGGTTTTGGCAGTAAGAACTAAACATCCTATGACTAGTAAAAGGGATGTGCAGGAATTCATGAAATGGACCCTTAGAGCTCCCTTACAGCAAGCACTTTTCCAAGCTCTCCTTACCCACTCCCTGTGGGTTTTACTATGTTTGCCAGGAAGGGTTTTTGTTTTGTTTTGTTTTTTTAATGAACAAAAACCTTTACCTATATTTTCTCAAATACCGTGAAGGAAAAAATATAGTTATTCCACAAAGTTGTTTTTTTTTTTCTGACATGACATAAAATTACTGTAACCATTTTTAAGTGTACAGTTCAGTGGTATCAAGGATTTTGACATTGTTGTGCAACCATCACCACCATCCATCTCCCGAACTTCTTCATCTTTCTAAACTGAAACTCTGTATACATTAAACAACTCCCCATTCCTTACTCCCCTCCAGCCCCCAGCAGCCACCATTCTGCTCTCTGTCTCTATTCTAGGTACCTCATGTACATGGAATTATATAATATTTGTCCTTTTGTGACAAGCTTATTGTAGTTAGCATAATGTCCTCAGGGTTCATCCATGTTGGAACATGTGTCAGAACTTCCTCCCTTTTCAAGGCTAAACAGTCTTCTTATGACATAGTCACTCATCTAACACAAAACTAGCCAGACATCTCATAAAAATATATTTTAACTGACCACATTAGCAGATATGTCATGTGATGTGAAAAGCTATTTGTAGTGAACCATTCTTGGTAGCTGCGACTTTATAACTGGCATTGTAAGTAAGTCTCTGATATTTATTACTGATTAAGCACTTTTGTAGAAGAAGACATTCTCTTGTTGCTTCTTTCCAAACAGTAGGCTAGCAGTTGGAAAGTAAGATTGTTTCACCATGCAAAACCGAGTGATTTTTTTTTTAATACATTTGAATATTGTGAATGATATCTGGTGCTCTGAAAGCATTCCTTTGCGAAATTAGATTGGGCATCAGTCATACTCTTCTGCAGCACTGATACTCTTGTGTTTATGTAATTTCCTATGCAATTGGTAACAACTGATTGAGAAAATCTTGCTCTCTTGTGAAGTTCAAATGAGGTTCTTGTGGGCCATAATGATTAAAATTTCTTTAATGATTTAGGAGGCAGAGAGAAATCCACTGAATATTTATTCTGTATAAATAAGCTTGTGGCATATTATGCCTTCTACTCATTTGTTTTTATTTTATTCTAACTCAGCCTAGACACCCAGCATGGCAGGTATTAGCAATCCCCCCTCCCCCCAGCATCAACTCCCCCTCTAGGCATTGTGACAACTGAGAATCACAAAGGCCATCAATCATTACCCGTTATTTGATGAATAATACAGTGTGAGCCTGATGCAGTTGCCTCTTTGTGGCCATGCAAAGTTACAAAATAAAATAAAATAAAGAAAGTAAAATAATGGAGATTCTGATCTCCACTTGCAGAAAACAATGACAATCTGTGTATTTATATCTTATTTATACCTTTGTCTATAGCAATTGACCTGGGGTGAATGAGGGACTTCCCGAGGAGACACAGCTTGGAATAAGCAAAGAGTACAAGATTTAGAGTGGGACACTCCTTACCTTGGCTGCAGGGGCCTGGGGCAGCTTAGACACTGAACATCGCATCCCTCTGTCTATAGAGATTACTTCATGATGGGCAGGGGACATAAGTCAGGCCAATCAGACTTAGTGAGACTCCATTCTGAGAACCTGGGAGTTTGGGGATGGAGCAGTTCTCTTTGCACTGGGGTTACCGAGGGGCCAGGCTTACCACTGTGTGAAGAGCCTGCTGGAGAAGTGACCACAGAGGCATAGACAGCCAAGAGACAGAGAAGAGGGGCTGGGCCCTGAAGACGGGGCGAGTACCTGGATTCAGCCATACCAATGAAGCTTCTTCACGATGCATTTCTATCACTTACAACCTAGAGTCCTGACTATACCATTTTCAGTATAAAAGTTTCCAGACTCTTGATTACTTGCACACAAAGGGAGGATATTGGCACAAAATAAATACTGTGTCCACTCATGCAGAGCAATCATCTCAGTTTGTCTCAAGGAAAGACTGTGGCCTATATCAATCAGCTGGAGACTTGGACGTGGCTGGAGAGGGGATGTCTACCCCAAGGAGCAGGTTTTTCTAAAACATACCTATTTTTTTTTATTACGCAATACACATCAATTGTGGAAAAGAATAGATAATGCATATATAAGTTTTATTTTAAAAAATTATATGATGGCATTCATCTTTCCAGAATTTTTTAGTCATATAGGAAGTTTTATTTTATTTTTTACAAAATTATAAAGATAAACACTGTTTTGTGCCTGCTCTCTCTCCTTAATGATATATTGGGAATATCTTTCTTTGTTAGTACACAAAGATCTACCTCACTCATTTTACGATATACGTATATATGTTTTATAGCTATCTACCTATCTGTTATATAATATATATAGACGGCTATAAAACATATTTATGTATATCATGTATATAAAACATATAACAGATATCTATTAGATAGATAGGTAAGTAGAGATAGATATTTCTGTGAATACATTGAACCATAACTTATTTAGCCCTAGATGGCTGGATCTTCTAGTGTTCTCTCTGTATAAACTATTTTATGAAAAACATTCTTTCATATGTCTGCACACTTGTCTGATTGTCTCAATAGAATATTATTCAGACACTAAAAATAATAAACAAAGAACATGATAACAAGATGGAAATTGGCCTTAGTGTACTAAGTGAAAAAAGATGTCTTATATGCAGATTTTTAATAATTATATTT